GTCACATAAAACCCAAGTGCTTATTGTTTCACCTACCTTGGCTAGCTTTCATCTTTAAGTCAACAAATGTCTTGGAATCTTCATATATTCTCGCATTTTGCATGGCAGCAAGTAAGGGTCCGTCGCAGTAAATTTGACTGAGATATAAGAGTATAATAAGAAGCAGTTAGAAAGATGATAGCAGCGGTTCGTGTCCACTTTCTTGCTATTGATACCCACTGGTTGCAATTGTGTCATATTTTCTCAGGTGATGGAAAACCGCATGCACATTGTTCGAAAAACCCGTTTTGTCGTTGTAGACCGGCCTGCATATATGAAAACGGACCTGCCTGAAGTTCTTATACCCGTGATGATAATTGCCGAAAGATCTGAGTTTCCCCCTGGGGGTGGGGGGGGGGGGGCAGGGAACAGTGATAGATAACATGTTAGAATCACTACCGCTGACATTTCTACAATCACACAAAGTTTAAGACAACTTAAATGGGACTCTTTCCTGCTATATCCCTATCCTTGGAAGTGCTGAAACTTTAAGGCTCTCCTTGTATATGCAGTGTACTATGTACTAACCTCTCACAAGCTGCAACGTTCTGTAAATCCTGACCGCTGGCTGAATTCAAGACACATTTGATGATGAAGAATACCATGACCAGTTGTCCAGCTATCTTATTATACACGGTCGACATTCTTCTGACAGTTTGAATACTTGATATTCTCTAATTCAACTAAATATTCAAGAAAGATTATCTTTGCAGAGTAACGGTCTTTTAAGGTCAGTCCGCTAGATCTCTGTGTGTTTTACGAAGATCAGTACATACTGCTGCCGTTCAGCTTATCTAGTACCTGTATGTGTACAAATATTTGTAGATTAGGCAAGGAGACGTGCTGTATCATATGTAAGTAAGCAAAAATGACAGTTTGCCAAATATCCAAACCCGGACGGGTCGGCATCTAGGGATAAGAAACGGCTGACGGGAGGGATATCATTTCGTCTGTCACGTCATCATTTTATATCTACTTAAAACGTGCATTTGATAACCTAGTAATATCATTTACCACTAAAAGGGGTGTTCTTATCAGACTTTGGACATCCGCCTCAAAACCGGTGCCTTCTAGTCCGTAATAAAATACTTCTCAGCACAAATCACGTCAGCAAGTTTGACGTCACTTTTGAAAGCTGTAACGGCACTTGGAAGGCGGAACTGTGGATAGCATGGGACAATATTTCTAATTTTGAGAAAGTAACAAAATACCTCTCTGGATCGGTGTAATGACAATATCTCGTCCTGTGCACGGTGTCAAGAGTGATAATAAGAGCCGAGAGGAAACACTAATATATCTGTGGACGTCCTAAACACAATTTCGCCTTAAAAAGATATTATGTATGAAGCAAGTAAATCTTTAACAAAAGAAAAAATACCCGTCCGTTGTTTTCCTTTCAAAGTGCAACTAACGCTCGTCTTCAATAAACCATATTTTTGTCTGCAAGAGTACTGGGCCATCTGCCTCCGACACATTTTGAAATTAAAATCAACAAACACACTTTACCATTCACACGAAGTATCATTCAGTGTGAACTTTTATTTCTTTGCCTAACACATTTTACTTATAATAGTCAATAAGAACCATGGGTATAATATCAGCTTTATAAAATGTACAGGCGCCTCCACTAGAATTCAATGTTGGCGAGAGACGAGTGCTGAAATAGCTGTCCTCCACACACGTAACCCGCCATAATATCGTTACTAAATAAATATAATTCTGAACGGCAACATACCGGCATTTGAACTCACTGAGATTAGGAATTAAGTGAAGATTATTGTCAACAAAGAGTGGACTAGACGTGTTCATGCATTTCAACAGCATTTTACCGGTATATATTGCTTACTGTTCAAGATACAGTGGTGGGAATCCACAGGTAAATAAATAAAATGTAGAATTCTGTTAAGTAAAAATATCTGCACGATTCCATTTCAATTAAGTGATAAGATTTATCGTTCCCACATGTTTAATCAAACTTTACAGAAACTGTATTGGAATCTTGCGCCTACGCGTCTCTCACACCTGCTCACGTGATCAATGGCACCACAGGGCTAGTAAGGCAGCTAGCACGGTCAACATACTGATAAATTGGCGCAAATGTTGAATAAACATGACAGTGAAAACCAAGGTCAGGTTTAGTAAACTGGTCTAAAGTTAAGTCAAAACCTTACTCCACTTCGACCTAAAACAAGTCTGAAGTAGTAAACTTCAATGTTTCACATAAAATGTCTCAGTTATATGAATCATTTTATAAATAGAAAGACAAATAGTTTCTTTATAAATTAGTTACTCTGGATTCATCCCACGCTGAAATAGACGCAAAAATCCCTATCTTCAACTGAAGACCAATTTTCCGTCTTAAATTCCTTTACAAAACAGTTCCTGCATAAAGCCCTTCACAGCAGCTTTACTGAGTATAAATAGTGTGAAATTTAAAAAATGTACAATTAATAGTTTCCTAAAGTATTCATGCATCTTAGAAATTCTCCTATCCATTAAGAAACTTCCAACCACACTTCCAATATCTTGGTACCACACCTACTGTACTTACTTATGTTTTAACATTATTTTGGTGTTAAGATTGATGCAGCATTCACCTCTGTACAATACTTTGTGCATTTCTTTTTCAAATTATGAAAAAAAAAAAAAAAATTCTCAGGTTTTGCACAGAAAATCCTCTTCATTGTTCTATAATTACAGTCAAAAGACAACGCTGACCTTACTAATAATCCATCAACTTAAAGAGCACTTGGTATTACAGGAAACCATGCCAACATCCCAAAACTGTCCAAATCTGGTGGTCATCTTTTGGTCAAATGTGGACAAACGTGATAAAGACTTGAGCCTTCTCAAACTGTATACAACCTTCTCATACAGTCCCAGCTTTCATAACGCGGGGCCGAGTGGTGAACAAGAAGTGGCTGTCCATCTGTACACATCCTAGGTATGAAGTCTTGGTGGGAGCACCACACAAAAAGGACAGAACAACTGACCAAGGTGAACATGGAATTAGAATTACATCTCATAATGGAGCTTAGATCTGATGTGGAGGTGACTTCGTTTCAGCCTTATCACAATTCCGTCTTCATGTGAACTGAAGTTTGATTGTCAGCGATGTCACTTAAGCTCCAGTATAACAATGGATTATGATTCTATGGGTAACTTAGTTTAAAACAGCTTGAAGAATAAAAACTTTCATTTTAAGGACAAGTCACTCCTCTTCACGAGTCTCAGTGGGCTGGAGAAGATAAAATATTAATATCTATTTCCATCCTTGAATCAAATCACAGTACAGACTGCAGCCATTCACAATAAGGGCCTCAGCTCAGTTTATGAAGTGGTATTTGGTAAGCATATAACTGAAGGTCAAGGTCATTTAACGTCAAGGAAGGCGACAACAACGCAGTAGCTAGGCACAGATAACACCCTGTTAGTCATCTTTATATCTCAGTCCCTTTATCTCTTTCAACTAGTCTATGAACTGTCTTTTGGTTTGTCTTTTGTCAAGGTTGCCCTCACAACAGTCATCTGTATCCCCATGGTTTTCAGGGTGTAAACAACACTGCATGGCGGCATCCATGGTCTGCAGGGTACCAGGCAGACTTCTAGATCAATGAGAAGCTATCTTTCCTGGGTCTCTCAGCTGTGGCTATGGAGCAGGTTACAAAGCTGACGGTATGGTAATGACTAAGATAGCTAGTATGCTTCACAACCGCTGGAAAGAACCACTAGGGGGCAGCAGAGGAGGCTGCAAGCTTACATCATCCCATGTGGGACGAGAATGACCCTCAGAGACTCAAGCACCTGCTGAGGTCCAGATCACAGAGGAAGAGAGAGAGAGAGAGAGAAAGCTCTGTTGTCTAGTCGTCAGTATCATTTGCTTTTCTCTGCCATCTCAAGGTAACTGTTCTTCTCAGCCAGATCCATGACTTTTGCATAGCGTTCCAGGAATTCACTGGAGTCCTTGATGTAGTTCAGCTGTGGGAATTTCACACTTGTTCTTGTCTCTGAGGGCGGGTCAAACAGCTTGGACATCACATCTTGTAACTTCTCCAATTTGTCACCTGAAACAAGATAAAAATTGTAGAACTGTAAATATTAAAATGAATATATACACATCACCTGGGTCACATTTGGGGTGGCTGGCTAGAAAGAAACCACCTGACCTACTAGTTTGACTAATATAGGCTGTATGTAAAGTAAAGCCAGCCAAGTTAAATATGTACTACAAGAGCCAGATCAAGACTTCTAAACACTAGAAGTGAAATCTTCCACAAAACTGGCCTCAATGTCAACAGTGCTGGAGTGGGTGTGAAAACAGAGATTAGCCTGGCTTGCTGTAGTTTATGGTTGTAAATCATAGCCTCACTTTCAGCCGAAATAGTACACAAAACTTAGCAAGAACATTGTGATAAAAACATTTCTTCTTGGAATGCAATTTGAGCTCAGAAACATCAGTCATTTATCACAAATTGACACATTAATACCAAGTTTAAATCTTACTCACCGGACACTTCCTGTGCCAGAATATTGCACCACTTCTCCCTCAGTTCCTCCGCGGCCAGCGTGTCATCCTGGTACGAGGTGTGGAACAGCGAGGGTAGACACGGCAGCACCAGGTTGTTCATGATGATACTGACACCAGAGATGTCCTCATCTGCCTCAAACTGCTGCAGGGCCATGTCATTGAGATGCTGAAACAAGGAGGGCTACACGTGGATACTGGTGTTCTACATGTGGATATTAGTGTTCTACTTATTGATACTGATGTTTTACATGTTGATACTAGTGTTCTACATGTGGATACTGGCATTCTACATGTAGATATTAGTGTTCTGATGTTTCACTGATGTTTAAGGGATATGGATGATATATATGTGGATATGGATATTACCTTAGTGGATATACTTGTGGATATGGATATTATATTTGTGGATATGGATAAGAGAAGCATATTTGCACTAAGTAAGGTATCTCACCAATAAACACTGCCTCTGATAATAGGCCATCAGCTTGTTATCAAAGCCTTTCATCCTGTTGCCGTCCGCTATGAGGGAGCGGTTGGTCAGATATGCATAGTGAAGATATGGCAGCGACTCCTGGTAGCTGAAAACAACATTTATAAAGTCAGATGTGCACAAATAAAGCTTTCTTTTATTTCATAAACATATTAACTGACTACAAAAAATCCCTTTTTGTCTCTGGCTTAACACAAGCAAAAGACAAAGTGAACATTTTGAGGTGAGTCTGTATAGTTTAACAGCCAAGACAGTTATAGCCCTACAATTAATATTCTGAGGTTAGAAGTTTTACAAAACAATGCAAATAAAAGTAGTGTAATTTTGCAACAACCCAAGGCTACAGCCAAACAAATTTTGCGTCAAACTTTAGAATAAATTAGATACACTAATTAAACCTAAGTTGCTACTCCCACTAGACTCAAAGAAATATTACTGTTTTTTTAAAGATTATTTTTCCATCACCTAGTTAATTTCTATTCAGCCTAGTAGTATTGTAAGTGTAGTGAGAAGTGAACTGTTAGTTCCAGATGCAGACAACCACATTTGTACAGACACTCACCGTTCTTTATGAAATGCTTCTATCCCCAGCACTACACACATGATCACACGGCGGAAATTGCTGAAGTTCTCATGCCATTTCTGAATAGGACAAATAGAATACACTGTAGCTATACAACCATATTATTACATACAACCATATTGTATACTATTACAGTAACATCTACTCAATCTGATGAAGTCAGGCTGGCTGTGAACTAAAGTGACCTTTCATAAGGTTCTGGTTGTGTAAAAAACAATGATCTTTGGACCATGTTATTATTCTTATAACACCAATTACTTAAAGATATCCAAAGTATAATCACTGGTTAAACACTACTATACTGTTATTGTTTATGGTACAACTCTGGACTAAGCCAGTATACCTGCTGCCATTTTTCTAGATCTTGGGTTCAGCCAAAGAATTTTAGCGAACTGAGAAGAGAACTTTGTTAGTTATACACTGAATACTAAACAATACCTTGTATTCACTCTTCATTTGTTCACTGGCATCTGATGTCATTTCTGATAACTTCCTCTCAGCTGCTCCCTTTATAGCCTTAAACCTGTTATAGAACAGATATCAGTGTAAGTATAAACATATCATGAGGACATCAAAACATTAATGATTTTATAAACATGTAAAAATGATTTTTTTTTTTGTAAATATCACCGTGTTATTGTACCACCAGCGTTAGCGCTGGCGGTACACATGGTTTCGGTCCCGTCCGGATCGTTCCGCC